CGATGTTCGACACAAACGAGGCCCACGATGTAAAGAGTCTTGTGTTTTCATTCACGCTCAGTTTGACATATTTATTTCCTGAGTTGCTGCCGTCCTTTAGCCCTAACCCTACATAATACTACAAATTACTACTTGTAATAAAATGAAGTACTGAGCGCTGTCGCTTGTAAAAGGACATGACCTTATTGTTCTCAGTAGCCGTACAATACAATAGATAAGACAATGTACCATACAGTGCTGTGGCACCATGAATGCATGGCTTTATTGTTCTCTGTACAAGTAACAAGGGAAGTAACCTAGCCAGAAGTAGTAATCTGTAGCGCTAGGTCCTTCAGGCTCAGACTATTACTTAGTATTTTGTAGTATTGTGTAGTGTAAGCCAAACAGTATGCTTGGCGGTTAGGGTTAAGGACAGTTTGGTAAAAAGTTGGTCAAATGAACTTAATGAACCGAAGTCAGATTTACTCACATGCACTCCAGTCATTGGTGATTAGATATAGTTCAGTGAACTATTTAGGAATCGTTGTGTGAAGTTTGCTTCAATACGTTGCGCCACATTGGAGTGCAAAAATAAAAAACATCTATCCTTCAGAAGGGAATGCACAGAAACCATGCTGAAGTCCTGTATGAGATAACAAAAGACAGCATTGTGAATTGACACATGTATACTTCACAGAAATTGCGCGGTCATACCCATTTTCCTTAATATGAAAACTCTCGTCAGTCAGATACCTCTGTCAGTGCGTTTCTCTCATCTCGTCCCATTCGCAGAAGGTCAAAAGCTGTAAGAAGGAACTACAAACCTGTCATGACAATTTAGCAGACTGTAAAGTGGTGAAAGTAAGTGAAAGCAAAACACACTGGTTATTTGTACGTGTACCATTGCTGTGTCAGGCATTAAACTTCATCAGCTTTTAAGCATGAGATTGAACGAGAAAGAATTTATTCTCGTTGGCCATTTGGAGAGCATTAAGCAGAAAGGACACAATCTACCCCATGCATCGATTGTGTAACTTTATAAACAAGCTCAAATTAAAGCAGTCAAAAACTGTGGATTTTACTGTTAAGGGAGCATCTCCAGAGTTGGAAAAGTTTGCGCTCAATTGCACTGCTCCGCTGGAACAAAAGCATTTCATTAGAAGATTCACATGTTGGCAGGAACAGTCTGCGTTTTGCAGATGCATGTAGACCATTATGAGGCAGTGGGAATGCTGCGTTCCCAATGGAATGGCTGTATCATTCCAGAATGAAAACACGGTGTTCTAAATGGACCATTCTCACTCGTGAGATGCTCCTTAACCACTTAATG